GGGTGGCGGCCCCCCCCGCCTCGGGGCGGGGGGGAGGAAGGTGAGGAAGAGGAGGACGGCGGCAAGGGAGAGCGCGGCCGAGACGAGGAGCCGGGAGGCCTCGGGGGAGAGCTCGGGGACGGCCACCATCGCCCGCTGCTGTCACCCGCGCGGCTGTAAGGGGACCGGCTGTAACGGGATCGGCTGTAACAGGATCGGCTGGAACAGGGTCGGGTGGTGGGGACAGGCATTACGGGAAGGGGAACGGCTGTAACAGGAGATCGGCTGTTGACCAGCTATAATGGGATCGGCTGCAACGGGATCGGCTGTAACGGGACTGGCTGTAATGGGATCGGCTGTAAGGGGACCGGCTGTAATGGGATCGGCTGTAACAGGACTGGCTGTAATGGGATCGGCTGTAACGGGACCAGCTGTAAGGGGACTGGCTGTAACGGGATCGGCTGTAATGGGATCAGCTGTAACAGGACCGGCTGTAACAGGACCGGCTGTAATGGGATCCAACGGGATTGGCTGTAATGGGACCGGCTGTAATGGGATCGGCTGTAACAGGGTCGGACGTAACGGGATCAGCCGGAGGGATCAGCTATAACGGTATTGGCTGTAATGGGATCGGCTGTAACAGGTTCGGACGTAACGGGATCAGCCGGAGGGATCAGCTATAACGGTATTGGCTGTAATGGGATCAGCTGTAACAGGACTGGCTGTAATGGGATCAGCTGTAACAGGACCGGCTGCAACGGGACCGGCTGTGCTGCAACCGGCTGTTACAGGATGGGGTTTGCAGAGAGCGTCAGTACCAGGATCGGCTGTACCGGGATCGGCTATAACGGTATTGGCTGTAATGGGATCACCTGTAATGGGATCAGCTGTAATGGGATCACCTGTAACGGGATCGGTTGTAATGGGATCACCTGTAACAGGATCGGCTGTAACGGGATCGGCTGTGCTGCAACCGGCTGTTACAGGATGGGGTTTGCAGAGAGCGTCAGTACCAGGATCGGCTGTACCGGGATTG